TAAACATGTTGGCTCCTCAACCCTTTCAGTCAGAATTAAATTAAAAGTTGATGTTTGGTAAGAATATTAAAGCTGGAGAAAAAGCCTTTAGTTTTGCTGATGTTTCCTGATTAGGATTATTTGTGTACTCAACATCAGCCAGTAATTTAGAGATAAACTTATCTATCCATTAGGACTGAAACAATTAATTAGATTAATCTTGATTAACCGATTTATTTAAATAATCGTCAACTAATTCAGTAACTGGAATATAGAGTCTCTAAATACAGCAACCCATTTAAAGCAGTAATTACACGGAAATTGTAAAAAAAAATAAAAATTTGAAAACATTTTGCATTTCAGATAAAAATCTGTTTTGTCTGTCAATATGCTCTATCCAGAACTCCTCAACTGGAACATTTTTAGTTTCACCTGGTTTGGTTTTGCAAAAAGTCTTCTTTAAGAAACCTTTTCCTACCTGATTAATAATAAAAAATAAAAATATTGACAGATTAATCGATTTGCAAACCATTAGTTGCAGCCCTAATATCAATATTTAAGCCCTCCAGAAATAATTTTTCATCGCTTTTGCATTACATTGGTTATGTGATTACAGTTTTTCTTCATAGACCTTAAGAAAAAAAATGCTATATTAAATCAAACATTTGTAGCTTCACATTTCTTTCTGAGAAAACAATGTCTTTCTGCAGCACAGTAAGTGCTAATCTGAATTAGCATGTTTACCTCTCTATTTTGACATGACTCTTTTATATTGGTTTGTTCCACATTGTTCTTTAGCAATTTTCTTTTGACATAAACTGTGATAATTTGTCCTTCTGTGTGGTTTTCTTAGCAATTTGATTTGTTTGCTATAAAATTTGTGCACTAGCATTTCAGCCACTTTTCTCTTCTTACTAACCACTGTCTGAGCTCAGTGTAAAACGGCTTACAGAGTGACTGTGAGCTGCAGCAGCTGATACAGTTTCTTGCTCACTTTGAAATGACCCAAGATTGGTTGAAACCCAGAGTCAAATATACAAAGTACTATGCACAAATTTTAATCAAGTTTTTCAAGGCGAGGACGGAAAAAAATGACTTTTAGACATTAGCAACACAAATCATGAAAAAATCTTTCTGGAGGAATACTAGTAAAAGCACTGGTAAGGGTCATGTAATGAAACGTGGACTTCTTCTATGTTGAAAGTATCTTACTAAAATTAAAGTAATGAATCAAATTGAACAGAATCTATAAACCATATCTGTCAAATTTGGTCAGGCTGTTTTATAAGTTGTGTAATTTGCATGATTAGTTTGTTTATAGTTTTTTGCAACTGATTGTCTCCCTAAACAATCTCTATTTATTTAATCCAATTAATTGTTGATTACTTGTACGCTTTGGCTGTAGCTTCAAAGTAGCCAAATGGCTGAATCTATTACAAAGGCGATAAATAAACGAAGGATAAAAAGGTTGATTAAAAAAAAAAAATCTTGAGACTGGCTGTAGACTGGAGTCATTCGTTGTCTTAATGAATTGTAACCACCCAGTTGCTTTGTGGCATCAGAGCAATAAACTTGAGGCTCGGATAACCGTCCCAGACGCTAGAAAACATTTGGAGACATTATGTGACCATAAATACTTCAGGCTCAACAAGGCGGGATTGTAGGGAGGGAGAAAGACGGTTAAACATGTTTTAGGAATGATCCTAATTTAACAAATGTTTCAACTGAGCTGATGTTAAGATATGATTAAAAACTTTATCTTTTTTAAAGGTTTCTTATGTTTTTAAATGGTTGAGGTTGCTGTATAATGCCTTCTTAGTTGAGGAATTGTGGTTGTTATTTTAACTCGGATGTAGATACTTTGCAATACATACCAGGTGCTGACCTAAAACCTTACGTGATTGGCTTATATTATGTATAGGGCTGCAACTAACGATTATTTGGCAAATCGATAAATCTTTTTTTTTTTTTTGATGACTCAATAATTGGATAACCAAAGGTTCCTTAAAGAAGATTTTTTACGAAATTAAACCAGGTGAAACTAAACCATTTCCCCGTGAGTTCTGGTTAGAGCATTTTGACAGATTACGTTTTTTTTGTTTTTTTTTTATCACAAATGGAAAATGTATATATGTTTTTTACAGTTTTGAAATTACTGCTACTATTATGTGGGTTTCTCTTTCAGCTAAAGTTGTTTTTTTAGAGTCTATATACTCCGATTAACGATTAATCAATTACTAAATTAGTTGACGATTATGGCGGCTTTCTAAAAGGATTGCTCATTGAATTTGAAGCAACATTAGTTAAGATTTCAAACTTTACAAGATCTTAAACAAGTTTTTTTCCTATTAAATCACAATGGGGAAATATTTCATGCATACACGTACATTATTTAAAGCAAAATCCCAGTTCTGACACTGTTATAATCTCTGGTTTTATTTTCCATTTAAGAGCATTATAAAGTAAGGAATCGGATGTCGTGATCCAATGGATTTATCAGAAATCTGTCCAGTATCTGCCTTCTTAAATCTGATAGCATTTCTAGCCAGCAGCATCTATATCTCTGACACTGAGCTAATGTGATCACAACAGTGTCTGCTAACAGAGCATCAGACACATGGCTAAAGAGTTTTTTTTTTTACAATTTTTTACACTAATTTACTGTTTTTTATCAATTTCTAGAACGTTTTTTAATATTTATTTTTAAGATTTAGGGTTATGTTACCCATTAGTTAATAATAAATGGGTCAGTTTTTCTTACTGTAAACCTGTTTTTGTTAACTTGATTAAGTCTTGTCTAACTTTTCACAATCAAATGTCATATTATGTAAATGTTGGTATTGATTAATAATTAAAGCTTTATTATAAATATTATTGTATGGGTATCCTAGTTTTACTACGCAAAAACATTTGACGGCAAATGAGTCAGAAAGGCCTGTTCCCCTTACACAACAAACTGATCACCGTCCCAAACTACTGCAGACTGACGCAGACGTTTTCCAACATAATTGAACCAAATCTGCCATTTTTGTTTGCTAAAAGCTTCTTGGCCTCTTTGTAGTTCTAGTGCCTTGATGCCAAATTTTTGACATGCAAGAATTTAGTTAGCCAAGATCATCATGTATGAAGATAAATATGCAGTATTTTTGATAGTTTAGAGCAGGGGTTCCCAAACATTTTAACCGCTAAAATAACAGTAAAACAGACTGGCGACCCCTAAAAAAAAAAGCTATAGTTGTCTTATAAGTATTTTGATTCACCATGAAACATATGCACATTTAAGGACATTGGTTTAATTCATAATTTTTAATGTAATTTAGATTATGTAATTGCATATTTAAATGTTATTTGTGCATTTTATAATTGAATTGCATATTTATCATTTGAATATAATGTATTAGATAAGGAATCCAGTTCTCTAAAGCTACCAAGCTGCAGCTTTTAGATGCATTCCCTCTTCAGCACACTTGAATCTAATGAGTGGCTCATTATCAGGCCTCTGCAATTCAGCGGTTAGATTCAGGTATGTTGGAGAAGAGATTCATCAAAGGCTACATTCACACTGCAGCCTGAAGTGACCCAAATCTTTTTTTTTTTTTTTTTTTTTTTACATATGCAACCTATATCTGAACAACACAGATCCAAATCTTTGCGACACTGGCAACTTGGCTGTGTGGTCCTAAATCTGATAATTATAGGATCTTTTCAAATGTGACCTGTATCTGAATGGCCAGGTCGCATTCATCCCACCTGACCGTCAATGATACTCAACAAAGCTACCTATTCTGGGTCTTGCAACAAGAAGCAGGGAGAAAACCAACAGCCATTGTAGACGATAATGCAGAAAGCAGTATTTCTTTTTGATCTTCTCCAAGATTGCGTTTTTTTATCCGATGGCCTCGGTTGGAAGAGAAATAACAGATCGCAAGATGCGCTCTATTACTACCATCCGTGTATTTCATCATGCATCCATTTACCTCATGGATCACATGTTGATTATGAAAACCGTCTCATTCACCCTTCGCTTTGGGATCCCCTAGTTTAGATCCAATATAAATCAGAACAGTAAATAAAACTTCCCATATGTCTCTTTGCTAACATGATTGACAGTTGGAGTGCACATGAATCTGACTGCTTTGTGTCATGGATACAGCTGTGATTCAAGGAAAAAGACTCCCTCTGACTTAACAGCTTGTAGGCAGAGAGCTAACGGCCTCTCTTTTTGTAAAGTTAAACTAGAATAATGAAAGAGGGGGCATGAGCCTGCATAGCGTTTGTTGTCATAATCCATACAGTTTCAGTTGGCTGTGAAATGCACTGGCTAAGATGATTTTTAACGGGTGTTGATGTATATATGTGTCCGACAGCGATGCAGTATCACTCCAATGATGGGAATACCAATGTGCCGGGCTCCCAAAAATGTCCCATGTTTTATCTGCTCACAGAGTTTAGTTAAGGGGGGGGGATGTAAAAAGCTCTCTATTTCTGTCCTTTGTTTATGTAAGGGGTGGCAGCGGGCTGCTGGGAGAGCGTAGCGGTCTGGGAATGTTGGATTCATTCTCTCATATCTAGTTCACCATTTTGGTTTTGGGGACTTAATTCCATCAAGATAACATTAAAATGGGTCATGCATACTTCTCAAAGCTCAAGAAAATCTAATTTATTTGTTTTGTATTTCAAGGTTTTTCAAGGTTTTATAGAATAAAATCAATAATATTAAATTAAATGAACATGCTTATATTGATTGTGTAGAACAATGGCTGCAACAATAACAATAATAAATGTTTATTTTCTGCTCAGTATCAAGCGGTAAATAAAACATCAAAACCATAATAGATAGAAATCTAAAATGCCGTACAGGTGCACTGTTGATTCCATTTACTTTAAAATGCAGAAAATGAACATTATTTCAAAAAGAAGCTAGAAAAGCTAAGAAATAGTGTAAACTTATTTAGTTTATTCTACATGCTACCAAACAGAAACCCATCATACTGACTTTTGGTGTGTTTTTTTTTTTACAGGGACGTCATGTCAAGACTGGACAGCTGGCTGCCATCAAAGTCATGGACGTCACAGAGGTAAGGCTTATATAATACCACTATTATAAACCAAGCTCATCCTTACACATAAATGTTTTTAGTCAACATAAAGGTGACATATTCACATTTTAACACATTTAAGATCTTTATAAACATTTGATTTTCCTTGTCTGAGTTCACTGATACAGGATATTTACAGGTTTTTATAGTTTCTCCTCAGGTATCTTTTTCTAATCATCCATAGTTCACTCTTTTGTTGATAAAAGCAAAAAAAAATACATGATATAATAGCAATTCCTTGTATCCATGTTTGCATTTCTTTACCTCAAATTACTTTTCTAACGTATGATGAAGGTTAAATCAGTTTTTTTAGATGGAGCAGAACAGTTTTAAGTCAGTTTTTATTCCTTATCATATATTGTCACAATCATTCCTAAGCTGGCTCCGTGTGCCCTGACTTGCCAGTTGCCACGCCTTGCTTCAGTCTGCAGAGCGCTGAATCACAAATCTGCTTGACTCATGAACGTATCTTGTGAACGGAAATGTTACCAAGCCGCTACCTCGGCTCTGACAGAACTGGGAGTGCCGTTAACGGTGTGTTGTAACCTAAGGTGAACAATTCTTCTTTTGAATGAAGTTTATGTCTCTCACAAAGGCAGGTGGCCAGTGATGGCGTAGCTGAAAGATGAATATTTAGCGCTGTAACTCTAACACCTGCTAGTACCAGTTCTGTGAGCTCAGAACAAGTGTGAACTGGTAAATGTTCCCAGGCAGATGTTGATCATAAAAATGGCAGCCATCAATTATATTTTTCGTCAACGCATATTTTGACTAGTCTTGTTTTGACACGATCAATCTACAAGTTTGCCTTTCTTGTGGTTTGTTTGAGCTGTAGAAGTCAGCTGGGTCTGTCCTGGGTCAGATTGACCCACATTATAAATCCAGTCCAGTATAGCTTTTAGCTGTCCTTATAGCTTAAATAAATTATTAAAACCTTGTCAGACCCTGGTTAAGCATGTTTTTATTGATATTTCTTTAGATTTTCATATTATATTGAAGTTAAGAATAACACCAGGCTTTGATTTTATTCACACAACGTGGAATAAAACAAGTCTGCCTTTCAATTAATCATTTATTTCAAAAAAAGCAACAATTATTCATTCTTTTCTGGATATAATATACAGATGCAATCAAATATTCCCAAAAGGTTGATTTTCACGTACATTTAAAAAGTGTATGTTTGCTAAAAGTGCTCAGTAAAGTTGAACACTACATACGAGCAATAAAAAAAAATAATAAGCATGGGATCCCAACACTTGGTCGGACCTGATTTTCTCATGAGTTTAGGGCTGCCAGTTATTATATTCTTTTAAATTGATTAAGCTGTTGACTCTTTTTATAATTAATTGAGAAAGGTATGCATGGATGTTTTTACAGAGTTGGAACCAGATGAAGCTAAACTAAGCTATACATTTATATAATACCATGTTAACGGGAGTCCTGACATTCCATTGTTACATTAGTTGACAATTATTTCAATAATCACGCTTTTTTTAGCCTTATCTGGGTGAATGCCTCAAATTTTGACCTGGAGGGGATCAGCTGGTGCTTGTTAAAGAAGTTTCCTTAAGTTTCTTCCTCTAGAAACACTACACAGATTTTTTTTTTTTTGTCTGTTCAGATTTGAGTCTTCACAGCACAACAATTTCATACTCTATATCGATAATCAGGAAAATATTCAATATCACAGGAACAAAATTACCAAATAACTAAAGGCCTTAAACATATTTATTAACATGAAAAACTCATCATTTTTGATCTCAACATCAAACGTGCTGTAAAAGATGTAACCCAACTATAATCCTATTTGACAAATTTTCAAGGTTACATTTATTTCCAAATAATCTAAAATATTTGCAAAAAAAATATGCAAACAACACCTTATGGATAACATACATCTTTTAAGTGTTGATTCTTTGTAGAGTATGGGTTCTTTTAACAACCCTAGTTTAGTTTGTGGGTTTTTTAAAACTTAGATGCTTTTGACTTTTTGCAAGTGTTGACGTAAGACTAAATAAGGATCTGCATGAAGCTTGCGTTTTATACTTCTTCTCTTTGCCTTTTAATCCTTGGGAGCTTTAAAACAAATCACCTGTTAAAGGGATTGAAGAGATTTAAGTTTAAATTGATATTCTCATTCCTTAGGATCCACCAGCATAATATATTTAGTACCGGTATATCAATTGTGATGTATCCTCATGCTTATTTATGTTTGTCTGAGATTGTCCTAGAAAGATTTACAGACTTCTTCAAGAAGGAGATTAATCATTTAAGTCAGTATAAAAGATTTTGTTCTGCTCTGTTATTCTAGATAAGTTTCTGAGCTGTTACCAGATAAGTGCTATCCTCTGAGTGTGTTTGTTCCTCCCTAATATCCCCTGTGCCGTCATTTGACCACAGCCTCTATGCTCTTATCTTTCTCCCTGGCACACACACACACTGCTGTACAAGTCCCCCCCCCCCTTCAAAGCCATGTGACTTGTGGCAGCGGGGCTTCCATAGCCACAGTGCGATAATTCAACAGCTGCGCGGCAGCAGAAGAGGGAGGGGGTACCGAGATGGGGAGGGTCTGGGCTGTGTGCTCAGCTCACACAACAGAAAAGCTTACGTCAACTCAAAAGAGTCATGCAGCAGCAGTATGGCTGCCTGTATAGATGCTCGTCTGCCGTTGACAAAGATTTGCTAAAAGAAATGGAGCATTTGCAGCTTCTTTTTGGTTTGATTCTGTTCAGATTAGTGTTTCAAACATGTTTCACTTTATCGTTGCTTTCTGCACCCCCATCCTCCTTTTTGTATTTTAAGAGAGGTCATGCACGCATAAAGTAAAGAGCTTCTGCATGCATTCAATTAGTGTGTCACTGTTAATCAGTTTCAAGTTGCTGTCGCTAGCAAGCAGCGAGTTTGCACTGCAGCTACTTGTGACCTTTTTTGTGAAGTTTATGGTGAACGTTGCTCATAGGAAAGGTTATTTCCCGCAGAGATTAAAAGGAGCATTAGTGCTCAAAAAGGAACTACCTTCCCTGCTGCATTCTTTGCATGATGCATCATTCTTCTTCTGTTCCATTTCCTGCCCATTGATCTCTCCCCCTTCTAGTAATCCTCTGTCCTTTTTTTTCGATCAGTAAATTTTAGCATCGTTTTAGATCCGAGGAGCTCTGATTAGTATAAATCGGCTAAAAACCATCATGCATCTTTCACAGATCTCGACACCAATCTGTTTAACTTGCAACATGAGTCACTCATGCGTCATTAATCTCTAAACAAAGGAATCATTTGCCCGATGACAAATGTCTGCCCTGTTTCAGAGCAACGACATCCTAGACATATAAAACAAATCCAGGACAGGAGGCTGTAAAGTTTCACCTTGCTGGTTCAACATGGCTTTGAAATTTGCGACGATAAGGAATATATAGAATTTGATTTGAGGATTTTTGGGGATTTTGATTATTGGCCTATCCACTAAGAGTTGTCATTCATCTGTTTCTTTCTCATCCATTTTTTTTTCTTTATAAAAGGTTCTTCTTTGCCATCCTTCTCTCATATAAGCCTCTTTCTTTGCCATTAGTCCTTCTTCCATTGGTCCATATCCCCGTCAACCCCTCCTTTCTTCCTTTTTATATCATTATATCCTCCAATCCTTTGAGTTAACTTGTTTTTTCTCCTTTCTCATCTCTTTGCTTCAGTTTTCCTTTAGCTCTTGCTCCTTAACATTCATCCCTGCCTTTCCTGCCTCATTTATTTATTTTTTTGTCATCACTGCTATCATTGCCATTGTGTTTCCTAGGTGTCATATTTAAAGCTCCAACTGCCACAAACGGCTAATAACACTACTTTATATTTTTAAATGAGCATTATTGAACAGTGTTGTGAAAGGTTGAGTCTGGGGAGTTTATAATATTTGTGTAGGAACCCTGGTAAAGTTTTCACCATGACTAGAGGGTGAACACTTTCACTTCCTGTTGTGGAGCGATAATAAACCCACTCTTTATCTTTGCTTTATTTTGTCTGTATAGGATGAAGAGGAGGAAATTAAATTGGAGATCAATATGCTTAAGAAGTATTCCCACCACAGAAACATAGCCACCTACTACGGTGCTTTTATTAAAAAGAGTCCCCCAGGACATGACGACCAGCTATGGGTAAGTCCTTAAATCTCCTAAAATCTATTACTTTGTCCTCTCTCCCGTATTATGCTCCTGTTGTCCTTCTCGATTATAAAGTCTGTCGTCATGTGTCCGAGATTTGCCCTCTGATAGTTTGTGTTTTTTTGCAGCTGGTGATGGAGTTCTGTGGTGCTGGTTCAATCACAGACCTGGTGAAAAACACAAAGGGAAATCAGTTAAAGGAAGATTGGATCGCCTACATTTCCAGGGAGATTCTCAGAGTAAGGCTCCTTTTAACATCTTGTTGGGGAATCTGGTTTCTCCCATTTCTTACAAACAAAAGATCTTTGATTTAATTTGGTTACAATAGATCAGTAACGCTTTGAGTCTCTTTATCTCTTTACTTGTTACTGAACAGATTGAAAAAGTTGGCTCTCTCCTCCCTCCCTTTGTAAAAATAGAGAAATTACTAAGATACATTTTTGTTTGATATAGAGTGGAGGATTTTTGCAATTTTTTTTTAAGAACCCGCCCTCTCCACTTTAAATTTTTTTTTTATGTTTAATGTTTATGCATTTAGCAGATGCTTTTATCCAAAGCAACTTACAAAGTAGGCATTAAGGCCAATTTATGCTTCTGATGGATAGCCTCTGCAACTGTCAAATCTGTCTCTGTGCACGACAACGCCCCCCGCACAGAGATTCTGCAACCGTTGTCACGCACCTCAAAAAAATCCTGACTACGTATCGGACAGTCGCAAACCCGTGCAAACCTCAAGCGGAAGTGCGCAGACAAAAAGCAGCTGTGATTGGTCCTTGGTATGTTTTTCTGGCTGTCTGTGTGGTCGTCCTTCTCGATTCAGTGCTGGAGCGCGCCATTTTTAAAAACAGAGGAACAACTACCATGGGCAACTACGACGAAAGGTTAATCAAGGAGGTTCGGAAGTACAACCACTTGTACAATGCCTCACACAAATTATATAAAGATGCCAAGGTCTCTGCCAAAATGAAGTTCTCGTGACCATCCGCCAAAGTCGACGCTAGTTCTCGAATAGGCTCCTCCTTGCTCTTTGGCGGGAAACTGCTGTGTGTCACTAGAAATTCCAGACCGACGGTGCAGAAGCATACCAGCAAAACTGGTTCACACAACTTGGCCTAAGGACTCACACTGGCAGCTCATTCCCCCAAGTGGGGATTGGAAAACAGGGCCTCATGTGTGCAAGTCGGCACAAGCCGACACAAGCACAACCTTGTACCCGAAATGGAACGGCTATTAAACGCATGCGCTGTTTAAGAGTTGCTGTTTGCATTGTTCAAACAAGTTTACTTTCCAAAAGTAGATTTGCAATTTTTCCACTTGTCAGTAAGAGAAAATGGGGCAGAGCATGTACGACGGCCTTATGTAAACATAACACCGGAATGATTGACAACTAAGAGGAACATTTATTTTGATGATCCACCCGGAAAAAGAACATCCTCCACTATAGCTTTAAAGTCGTAGGGAATAAATATTTAAGTTTCAACTCATCCTGGCTTAAACATCTATATAAATGTACTCTTTATTAGACGATACTGTCCCAAAATGTAGGAAATTAATATATATATTTTTTAAATGGTGCCTAACGGTTTTTAAGATAATGTTTTTTTCCATTATCGTATGCAGGCCAGTTAGTTGTACGTAAGCTTGTACACCTAAATTCGGCCAATAATATATCAACGGTCATCTGTCAATCAACTCTTTTCCTTCATAGCATCTTAATTCATGTGTCGCAGCTAATATACACAAAGGTTGAAATAAGAAAAATTTACTTTAGCATTGAGTTCCGTCCCAGTGTCCACGGAGATGGACGTCTGTATCTTCGGCAGGCATAGAGCTAACAGAACTGGCAGCGTTGCGAGGCAATGGCTTAAACATGTACGGCTGTAAGCCTTCTACACCAAACCAAGCTTCTGCCGCCCTGACATCCTCTTCCACGACAACTTTGTCCCCGCTTTCCTCCTCTAAATAATAAATGTATGACAAAGGAGACTCATCCATGACCTCCGAAAAACCTGTCTCTGTTTCCATAGCGTTCCTTGACAGTGTCGTTTCTAAGTCACCAATTTAGTGCTGCTTGGTCCCAATGTAATTTCCAATTAGGAACCTACTAGCACTAAGTTGCTAACTGGTTAGCAAGATGCTACCGACCAACCGGCCACAATCAAACTTGGGAACCTTCTGCCACAACAATCCCGCCCCCTTTATAAACGACCCTACGACTTTATGTACTGATGTGCTGATGTGTGTACTGATCAGCTTTTTTCAAAAGCCTATTAGAATATATAGCTGCTTTCCTAAATCTTCATTAAAAAAAAAAATAAATTAATTTCTTTTTTGGAATTTGATGTAAAGTAGTTTGAAACAGAAAGAGACACATACCGGTAAATAGAAATGTTATCTTCCTTACACAGATACCCCTGAAAGTGACTTCAGAAGCCAGATTAATTCATTAGTTTATTTTCATCTCTGCATGAATAAATTGGTTAAAAAAAATAAAAATAAAAAAAGAGGAAAAAAAAAAGGTGCAATTAATCACTTTTTAAGGTCTAGGATGTTTGTATTTAAATTGATATTCCTTGATAATTTAAGTTGATATTCCTTTAAGCAGGTTGAACCATGTTTCTTTTTACATTGATGCCCAACTTTCTTTTTAAACCATATTAAAAAATACTAAAATTTAATTTTAGAGCGGTCTTAATGTGACAAGTTTCAAGTCGACTGGATTTCTTTTACATTGGATGTGCATTTTGTAAAATATGCCACATTTAAAATGAAACTTCTCTGCAGGTGGAGAATCCCCCTCCTGATTTGTAATCTGAAAGTAAAGTGGGGATTGTTTAATAATTTACAACAGAGGTTCCCAGATGTTTCTATTTTAAATGAATCTTTTCAAACAATAACTTGGACAGTAGGAACAAAGAAAAATTCTACTTCGGTAATATGTATTTCAATAAAATAAACTAAAATTTCCTGTTATTTAGCCAAATAACACCTTTAAATGGTTTATTATTTTAAGTGTTTTATTTGCAGTGTAATAGAATAAAAATTTTCATCATTTTTCAATCCCTCTTAAAATTGGTCATTTATTCAATTTATTTTATCCCACATCCCGCCACTATTACACTAAGCGCCCTATAGGGGGCGGTACCCATTCAGAGGTTTTCTCAAATTAGCAGCTTTTAAAACACCAATAGATCAGAGACTGGGTTTAACTTGTTACTAAATAAGCTAGTCATATTTTGGTTATAAAAAAAAAATTAAAGATTATGTTGTTTATCCAATCTCCTCAGGGTCTTGCCCACTTACACGCCCACCACGTGATCCACCGTGACATCAAAGGCCAGAACGTCCTGCTGACTGAGAACGCTGAAGTCAAGCTCGGTGAGGATCATCATTCAGATAATTTTGTTGATCTTTTCTGGAGCTAACGGCTCTCGCACCGATTCCTCCCTCCAGTGGACTTTGGTGTGAGCGCTCAGCTGGATCGGACGGTAGGGAGGAGAAACACGTTCATCGGCACTCCATATTGGATGGCCCCAGAGGTCATCGCTTGCGATGAGAACCCAGACGCCACATATGATTACAGGGTAAGGGTCGACTACTCAAGACCAGATAATCACCTTGATCTATCTCTGTTCCTGTGCTGGTTTGCTCAGTGGGAATGTTTGCTGTGTTGCAGAGTGATCTGTGGTCATGTGGCATCACGGCGATTGAGATGGCTGAAGGGGCGCCCCGTGAGTTCTTGTTTTGTAGCTTGTTCTATTTAATCTCTTCCTTTCTTGGATCGCTGATGAATTTCTAACTCCCCTTGCAGCGCTTTGTGACATGCACCCCATGCGAGCTCTCTTCCTCATTCCAAGAAACCCTCCACCCAGGCTCAAATCCAAAAAATGGTGAGTAGTCGATAGAGCTGATGTTTTCGTTTTGTCTTTGTGGATATTTCTCTAGCCCCTCCAATTCGCTTTTATGTTGAAATCTTAAATTGGCTCGTTTTATCTCATGGTAAAGCTTTCTGTGCTTTCTCTTCTTATGCGCACCCTTGTGCAATGAGATTTTTATCTCAGAGCAGAGCTCAGGCGGCTACAGAGGCTTAGATCCAAACACTTGGACTTTCCATTGTGCTTTGGTGCTGAGCTGAACATCTGTGCTGCACCTGTCCTGGCAGCCTCTCTTAGCGAACACACAGAAATAACAGATATCTTTTCCCAGCTCTAGATCTGAGATTTAATTTTTTTACCTACTAGAAATGGATTGATTCACTACTGTCATCTCGGTTTAGAGTAATTTAAGGCAGCTTTAAGTGTTGATGACACAATATTGAAATTTTCTAGTATTTTTCGTAGACCAAAATTTTAATACTGATGATCAATGCAATGGTTTCAAGGGCACCAGCATAAAATAGTTTAATGGAAAAAAAACCTCGGCCATTCAGGAGACCCTAGCACCCCCGCCAGTCGCTAAGGGAGAAAAAGGAAGTGATGTGTATGGTAGAATGGCTGACAGCTGACGTTTTCATGGATTAAGATGCTGACATACCTTCGCGTTGTGTTGCTGCTTTTTCTTCATCCCCCATAAGGATGGTGTCGGCTTATTAAGGTTTCTAAGGATCCGTAGCCACTTTCAGTGAAGCAGGTCAGACTAGATCGGAAAAGGTTGAAGGACCGGGCAGTTACTAGCTATAACTTTAAGAATATAGTAGATCATTTCTTGTTACAGTGGGGGAGGATTTATTTGAAAATCATGTTCATCTTCTAATTTTATATTTTAGAAACTAATATCCGATTATACTATCTGAACCAGAGGCGTAGCAATCCGTCTTTCCCTGCTATGTGTTTTCTACCAGCAATGCTTCAGTCATATTAGCATCACCCTCCGGCTCAGAGTCTGACTCTGTAGGATCTGGATGGTTCCGATCTGTGGGGTCTGACACTTTCTTGGTTTAACCACACATACTAGCTCCAAAAGGGCTTTCTTTCTGATGTGATCAAGAGTGCTGATACTAAATGTAGGATATTTGTTAAAAATAAGCCTGTTTGTGTCATATTTACTCAGAACCACTTGGTATGTCCTGCTGCATTATTTTAATGAAAATTACATGAAATCAATTTCGCCTCATCAACACTTGAAAGCGGCAGCAGGTGTAGGAGTGGTGGTTTAGTTTATGGTATAGATATGATATATATTAAAGCTTTATAATCTTTCCATTTTCCATTAATGTATATAAAAGTGATCAATTTAGTCAGATACTTGTTATTCATTTAGCTTTGTCTCTTTCTCACATGATGCTTGTGCGACTGTCCCTCAGGTCCAAAAAGTTTTTTAGCTTCATAGAGAGCTGTTTGGTGAAGAACTACACGCAGCGTCCTCCAACCGACCAGCTGCTGAAGCATCCCTTCATTCGTGACCAGCCCAATGAGAGGCAAGTTAGGATACAGCTCAAAGACCACATCGACCGGACCAAGAAGAAGAGGGGGGAAAAAGGTTAGTACGATGGTTGCCTGGAAAATTACGGATTAACGTTTCATTATTTTTCAGGTTTTGATAAGTATGAAAAAAATTTAAAATATTAAATTTTCTGCATGTTGTGTAATTTCTTTTCATGGTCCCTCCTCTTTCCCCCTTTCTGTATTTTCCCTCCTTCGTTCTCATCTTTCGCTGCGCGTCCTCTCCTCCCTGCCCTTGTTTTCACCCTTTGTCTTTCATACTTTATGGTTTCTGTCTGTCTCCCTTTTTAATGTCCTACTTGTCCTCTTTCTTCCTTTCCTTTGTCCTTTGTGTCACCCTTCTGTGTCCATCACCGTGATCTTCCTTTCTATTTACTTTTATTACTTTGTTGTGCCCTTTTGTCCTTTCTCATTTTCATGTCCTTTTATCATGATTGTTTTTCCCTTTCTTCTGTCCCGCTCCAATTATTTCTTTATTTTCCTTTTTCATTCCTGATACCCCTCCATAAATTTATTTTTTTCTTTCTTTGTTTCTTTGGTTTTCTTTCTTTACTTCGTGTCGTTACCCATTTCCTTCCTAGCCTCCTTCGTAGTTTTTCCTCAGTTCCCTCCTTCCTTCATTGACCATCCTTAGTTCCTTCGTTAATCCCTTTTTCCCTAACTAGTCCTCACCGATTTCCTTCCTTTGTTCCTTCCTTGTCTTTCTTTCTTCCTCTTACTAACTTACCTACTTACTTGATTTTGAAATTAGTTTTTTTTACACCTTTTTTTTCACCAGAAGACAAATCGGACATGTTCATTACTTTGGACAGAAAATGTAGCTCTATGATTTTTGAACCTGTAGGATGATGTATACATTTTATGCATAGATGAAACGGAGTACGAGTACAGCGGCAGTGAAGATGAGGAAGAGGATCCTCCAGAGCAGGAAGGAGAGCCCAGGTATTGTCTAGGACTTACTTGACCTCCTGTTATCATCCACTTCTTACAAAACCCTAACGGTGTCTCTCATTTCATGACGTTCAGCTCGATCGTCAACGTGCCAGGAGAGTCGACTCTGCGCCGCGACTTCATCCGCCTTCAGCAGGAGAACAAGGAGCGTTCAGAGGCGCTCCGTCACCAGCAGCTCCTTCAGGAGCAGCAGCTCCGCGAGCAGGAGGAGTACAAGCGTCAACTGCTGGCTGAAAGACAGAAACGCATCGAACAACAGAAGGAACAGAGGAGGAGGCTGGAAGAGGTTGGAAATTTTAACTTGGATTTTCAAAGGTTGTCAGATTGGTGAAAATCAGGCTGTTTTGTTGCAGACATTAACACTGTGTTTTAATCAACAGCAACAGAGGCGCGAACGGGAGATGAGGAGGCAACAAGAGCGCGAGCAGCGGCGGAGGGAGCAAGAGGAGAAGAGGCGTATGGAGGAGATGGAACGCAGACGCAAAGAGGAGGAGGAACGGCGGCGAGCCGAGGAGGAGAAGAGACGGAATGACCGTGAGCAGGTTTGTTTTTTGGTGGCGCCTTTTTTTGAGGTGATCTATAAAACTGGGGCGTATTATTCTCAATATTCAATTCTTGGTCTTGGATCTGCTGACAGGAGTACATCAGGCGTCAGCTGGAGGAGGAGCAGCGACACCTGGAGAAGCTGCAGGAGCAGCTGCTTCGAGAACAGGCCATGCTGCTGGTCAGTTTCACACACACAAAGCAAGTGAAGCCAACATTGCAAAGGACTAATATTAATTGTGACTAGATCAAAATATAGCTGTATCTACGTTCTGGGTTCCTTGGAAGCATTTTAAACTCAAAATTAATATTTTCTCTATTTTTTATGTATTTAATAATGAATCAGTTATTGAATAAAGGCTGAATCAAACAGATGGTTCAATCTTGCGCTCTGCAACAGGAGTTCAAGTGGCGCGAGCTGGAGGAGCAGCGCAAGGCAGAGCGCCTCCACAAGCGGCTGCAGCAGGAGCAGACTTACCTGTTGTCATTGCAGCACCAATCTAAACAGCAGCCTGCCGACGTGTCCCAAACCCCCCTAGACTGTAAAAACCCTCCACAGACCTCCTCGCTGCCCCCTGATGGAGTCCACACCCCTTCCTCAAATGCTGAGGTCCTTGACACTGCTGCCCCTGGAGAGAGCGCTAACTCCCAAGCAGCAGTGCAACATGGGATTGATGAGAGCACTCCCTCTGTTACTGAAACCCTCGCTGACTCTAAAACTCCCAAAGCAAAAAGTACGGAGGCTGACAGGCTCACGGAGCCTGCTACTCATCCCCCCCAGCCTGTCAGAGAGGTGAACTTCCTCCTCGGCTCTATCTGCCCTGCTGCCTGCTCTTTTTAGCTTCCACTTGCTTGCCTTCACACTCTGTGTTGTGATCATAGAGGCATTGCTGACACACAAAAAGAAAAAATGTACCTTGGATGTGGAGGCAGTATGCAACCTTTGAGAGTTGAAAGCAAAGTTTTGCCTCTGATCTTTGTTTGAAAGCGTTCAGTACTTCTTTTAAATGGCTGTCCATGTGTAACCCAAGGGCCGTTTGCATGCGGACGACTGGGGCCCAAACTAACACCCAGAGCACCCGTGCAGTCTGGGCCGTCTGCTGGCAGCCTCTTTCATCTTTAACAGTTGACTTCCTTCTCCTGGTATTTTAGATTTACCGTTTTATCTGTTTGACAACAGTCTGTCCACTTCTTTGCATGTCAAGTTTTTGTTGTTTTTTTTTACCCCAAGAAAAGAGAAACAAGAAGATTGGAACTACTTCTACTGGTGGACATTTTAATTTGGTGTCAACATAAAATTATAGCTGTAGTTCCTTTCTGCTTGTGTTTTTTTTTTTCTGCCATCCATGTTTGTTCATCCAATCTTTGTCTTCTCCTAACCTCTCCCCCCAGGCTGACGAGCGTTTCCGTAAGAACATTCAGGGCTCCCCACAGTCTGCCCCTCCTTCTAAGCAGCCCCCTCTGCCTCCCCGCTCCTCTGAACCTTTCTCCAATGGGGGCCCCGCCTCGGAGGCCTCCGCCATGCACCGCCCCATGGAGCCTCAGGTAACTCCATCCACCTCCCTCTGCCTCTCCCTTTCTTTTCCTCCACTATTTTTCCAACAGAAGTTCATCAAAACCATCAGTAATACCGGTACAGTTGAGGATTTTTGAGAATTTTTTGAAAAGACCCACCCTCTCTGAGCTCTCCTCTGTCCTCTGTTTAAAAGTTGCTGTTTGCATTGCTCATATAAGCTTACTTTCCAAAAGAAGATTTGGAAAGTAACATCCTCCTCTATACCTTTAATTTTAGCCACAGGTTTATTAATGAAAGGTCTCAAGTTTTAAATTAAGTTTAGATGTTTTTTTTCTGCTACCTTGTGTCATATAAACTGTTAAATTTGATTGTTTTAAAGTTAGAATTTCGTTTAAATTAGACTTTCTTTTTAACAGTTGTAATACTGATGATTTACTCAAAAAATTAAAGATGATAAATTAGGAAAATGTTTGGATTTTGTCTGTAGTTTGTTGTAAATTACATGAAATTCATGAAAATTAAATGGATTATTATATTTGATTATGACGAAAATGTGAAACATTTTCAGGGGTGTGATTATTTCCCCCCTTTTCTTGGTGTTTAAAGTTTAACTTCAGGACTGGATTGAGATTAATAACTAATTATCAACAGCTAAAATGCCTTAACTAATAACGGAGGATGCTGTAGATTAAACTCTTAGGAATTATTTGCAACTTTTGTTGCTTTTGTTATGAAACAGCCTGGTAAAGCTGGGCTATCGTTATTGATATAACCTAATTTAATTTAACCACTTGCACAAACTTAACCTTGTAGTTTTTGCTCTGAGGTTGAGCAAAACGCATCGTTTCGTGTTCTCTGTTTGCATGTGTATCTATCAAAGCACATGTATGTACAAAACCTCACACATCTTCCCTCGTGTCTCACTGTTTTGTCTGCCTGTTTCGTCCTCCTCCCCCTCCTTCCCTTCCCTCCCTCCCAAAAAGGTCCAGTGGTCCCACCTGGCTGCTCTAAAGAGCAGCAACAATGCAGCCCCCTCTCCTCCTCCTCCGCCTGTGGTCTCTCGCTCCCAGTCCTTCAGCGAGTCTGGTGGTGTGAACTCTAGCTTTGCACAACTTCACCTGCGGTCCCAGGACCCCCACCATCATCATCACCCATTGCCTGCACGCCCCGACCCCCAACCTCCCCTCCACCACCCTCAGGCTCAGACCAGGCTTGAACGCCAGACCAGCAGTGAGGAGGTCCCTCCTAAGGTAAGGAGCTGGCCAGGGCTGCTGTGATGCCACTCCCACCGTCCCCACTGTCAGCCACCTCCTATCACATTATTCTCCTCACCCTCTCCGTCTGCCTCTGTTAATTTCATCAAATTTTAGTCACAGTAGTGACGCATAAAGTGAAATTAAATAAAATCTTTTACATAGTTTTTTTTATATATATATATATATATATTTTTTTTTTTCATTTTCACAGATCAGTTTTATTTTTTGGTGCAAATTTAATGTTTTATGAAAATGCGTTTCCTTTTGGTTTGTTCGTTTTCTTTTAAAGACTTCCTTTTTTGGATTATCATTTCTTTTCAGACAGAAATTTCCTGAATAAATACAAAAAATGAAGTTTCTCCCCCCTGCTGTAAATCAGTTCATCTTTACTAGCCACACCCAGGCCTGATTACCACCAGGTTTGTGGTATAAAAAAAAGAAAAAAACTTCAAAGAGAATCCGTCTGACAAGGTTACTAAAGAAGCAACATGGGGCCCTGTGTGGAGAACTCTTTAGAGCAGAGGAGATGCAAAGTCTGGAACCATCTCTAAGGATTTTGGACTCCAATTAACCACAGTAATATCTATTGTCAACAGTTAAAAAAACATGGAACTGTGGAGAAACTTCTAGTAGCAAAACTTCTCTAAGATAGCATCAAAACTACACCACGAGGTGACAACATTACCAAGACAGTAATGGCCTCTTTCCCACTGAAATCAGCGGGTTTTTCAAACACAGGTCGACGGGCTGAAAATTAGCACTTGACTCCTTTCCCACTGGCAAAAAAAAACAAAACAATTGGTTTTTACCCTATGCTGGCAAGCTGTGTGGCCTCTATGCCCCAATTTTTTAGTGTCTGGTGACACTATCACGCTGGGTTAGCGTTGATGATGTCACCAATAAGACAGAAATTAGGACAGTAAGCAATGGAGAGCAATATGGAAGGGAGCCAGCGCGCAGTACATGAGCTTTATTGTTTCTATCCAATTCCCTCTCACCAGAGCTGCGCCATGGCTAAATCAGATGGTACTGGCGCAGTGTGTTGACGTCCGTACATTGCCCCTTAGTGGTATCATGTACATTAGCATGTCAACCAGGCAACAGGCGCTCCAAAGCTCAAACATAAACACCTGTATATGTCCATATGTCCAATAGACTTCTGGGGGAAATATTGTATGAATGTTTTTTTTTTCATATCTGGCATAAAACTAACGGAATACAAGGGAAGCAATATCATAAAACAAGGTGGTAGTATAAAAGGCTCATTATGGTTGACGCACGAGCATTTGCACGAACGTTTGCCATGGAAATGGAGTCATCCGTCACAGCATCTGCAGCATTCATACTCGGCTTTCCCCCTATCCTGGCCGGCTCCAGGTTGTTTTCAACACAAGCTGTAAGCTGACACCATTAATTTGTTGATAGTGGTGATATTTATGATTTAAATAACGGGATGTCTCTAGATTTTTACATTTGCGCCAGCAGGAGCTGCTGCTCCCTCGCCATTGTTTTCTGTGCAGATCTATCCGTGTTGTTGCAAATCTTCCTAGGTGCTCCGTGTGGAAAGTCTGTCCACTTGGAGTCCTGAGTGGCGTGGAACACCGAAATGGGGTAATTTGGTTGCGCGGAAGCATCAAACATAAATGAAGCTTAATCGGTAGTGGGCAATGCGGATCCTAATCGCATCAGGAAGGCTGACCCCTGGCTACGACAGAGGTTAAAGGGTTTTGGTAGGTCTATTCAAAGTCCAGCAACATTAGATCAAGATCACATGACTTCCATAAACCCTCCACTATTGGTCTGTTTGTTACACAAAGTAATCATTTAAAAATGGTGGACCGAAATTCCTTCCAAGTGATATAAAACTTGTTAGCATTTATTGCAAATGCTCAGTCCCAGTTGTTTATGGAATAGTTACCTTTTTTAAATCTGGACAGCTCGCTTTGTATGTTTTTTGTTCTGTTTTTGTTTTTTGTTTTTTTTTTCTTTCAGCAAAAAAGGAAAACTAAAATAATTCGGGGGCAAAAAACAAATTGAATTTGGTAACAATTTTTTTTTTTTACAATCCTGAGGACCTTTGGTTGTCTCCAACAGGTACCAGTGAGGACTACATCCAGGTCTCCTGTGCTGTCACGCCGAGAGTCACCTCTACCATCACAGCCCAACAACCAGAGGAGTGCAGGCAGGTCTGTAACCCATCACTTTTAAATTACGCATTCATGAGTATATTTTTACAACAATTTTTACAATAATTAATAAAAATACCATGAAGGGGTCAAATAAATAAAATCTTAAAGAAGTCTATTGAGTCTATTGATGTGCTGCTGTTATTTATATCACATTCAGTTCAAATTCATTTATTTTAAAAGCTTTTTTTTCTCTTATTTGGGGTTTTAACCTGAGAAAAATCTAAAAACAATAACCAATTGGCATTGAATGTGTGAATATGTAGTGTGATTTTCTGTTGCATGCCAGTGTGATCAACTCATAAGTGGCATAAATTTGGGAGGAGATTTTTTTAATTTGATGGTCCATGGATTTGTCTCAGTAGTGTGGAGCAGCGCCCCCTGTGGGACAGAGTGGAGAAACTGCAGTCTAGGCCAGGCAGTGGCAGCTCCTCTGGATCTAATGCCAGCTCCCAGGCCAGTCCAGGCGACCGCTTCAGGCCACGTTGTGAGTCACCTGGTACTGTACACATTTCACATCCTTTACTTAGTTTAACGTTTCACTTTATCAGGAAAATATTCTGTCTTTTTTTATTTATTAATGGAAAAGATAACTAAAATCCCCTATTCATGTTGTTTCCCCTTACTAATACTGTGTATGTTTCCACAAAGCTTCCTCTAAATCGGAAGGATCGCCTCTCCAGCGTCCAGAAAACATCCTAAAAAAAACAGATGAGAAGAACTCCTCCAGACCCACAAGACCCGCTGTAAGTCCCCTGCTGCTGGAGAAAAAAATTAAAAAACCATGGCCCAATATCCTGATTTCCTTACTTATTCTACTATATTGAAGAAAAAAACTAATAACAGATCAGATATTTTTTGAAAAGGATATGTAAAGAAAAAAATGTGAGAGTTGCTACAGGTTTTAAGGTTTATTAAAAGCTTTTATCATTTAGATAAGAACATAAAACTTAAAAATATAGTAGATGTTTATTGACATTATTACCTGTTCAGTCCTCTAAAAATACCAAATAAATGTAAAGGTGGTGTTTCTTGCAAATATTTAAAAAACGTTTGAATCCATTAGGTTACAATTTCATTATCTTACTAAAAAAAATTCAAATTTAATTTGAGTTTATTTAAGATATATTGATTAGTCTGGTTTCATGTGGTTTATTCATTTATAGGTTTTGGGTGTTTAGAATTTTGTGACAAATATAATGCTGCAAACGATTTTATATAGTCCTAGTTTTAGACTTACTTTCTGACAGAAACCTTAAATGAACTCTTATAGATCTCTTTTAAACCATTTTTCAGTTTTTATTGTGTCTTCAGTACAGGTTTAGGTCTGAAAGTGACATTTTTTACCCCTTGTGATGAAAAAAGGTTGAAATGTTTAAACTGAATCTAGATTTAAAGGCAGCCATCTTTGCCCCACACATGTAAGCTAGCATCAGCTTCATGTTGTTTTAGTGTAACCACATTTGGGTGCAAAAAGCATTTAATCCCATCGTGAAATATTGTTTTCAAACCTATGAATTGTAACCCTAAACCTCCTGGGACCTCAATATTTTTGCAACATGACTGTAATGATATTCAACTTGTTTATTTTAGTGCGTAATTCTCCAGAAGTTTATCAAAACAAAAATTTTAAACGTAGTGTTGAGTTCTGAAAAGGAAGCGGTGTAGAAACCTGATTGCAGATGTGATGGAGCACATTTTTTCTCTCGCCCTGCTCTGTTTTCTGCCACTCTTAATTTTCCCACCAAGGGTGACACGGTAAGACTCTGTCAAACGTTTGCATTCTCACATCCTTTTCATGCTTGGGGTTCCTATGCATCTAGGAGAGGTCAGGATTGAATAGGTGTTAAAAATGGATTTAAGTTTGTATTTCCAGACTTTATTTCCAGAACCATTTCTTTAAATGTTGTCCCCCCTTCTTTCCTTCCTCATGTCCTTGTGTCCATCTTTGGGTTTTTTTCTTCCTTTCCCCCCCCCTCATTCATTTCTTTCCTTCCTTTTTTACCTCTTTGTTGCTTTTCCTAAAGTCATTCTTACCTCCTTGTGTCCTGCTTCCTTGTCCTTATTTCTTAAATCTTTTCTTCCTTCTCTCCTCCTCATCGTTTGCTTCTTTTTCTCCTTCCCTTTTTACATTTTCCTATCCTCATTGTCATTTTTACCTTTCTCCCTTCTTAAGGTATCTACCTCCTTTGTTTCTTTCATTTTTATGTCCTTACCTTGTGATTTTCTTGTTTTATTTTTCCTTGCCTTTGTCCCTTGTCCTGCATCAATCTTTCCTTGCTTGTTTTTTTTTCTTCTTTTTTCCCTTCCTTCCTGTGTCCTGGCTTCCTTCCATTGTGTTTTCCTGATTTTCTCCACTTTTGAAATGACCTAGTATTTAAAAACTAAAACTCATGAACATTTGAGTCTGGAGAAGTTAATTGTTTTTCAATGAGCAATGTGTAGGAACCCTGTGTGATGGAGCCTTCACATCATGACTCTGCATCGAATGAATAAATGCGCTGACTCTGCAGCGTCTTTTCTCATCCTTGCCACTTCTGTTCATTCCTCTCCATCAACAAAAGACACGGGTTAACTCTGACATGGTTTCCTGAGCCTGGATTTGAATGCAACCTCATTTGAATGCAAACGGTCTCTCTGCTTGTCGGAGTGGCTCCTAATCTCACCTGGCTTTGTTGTCGGATCAGACTGCAGCCTATTTGTTTTGTCAAGCATGTCGGGGGGATTGTCCCCTCCTCCCTTTTCCTGTTTGTCACTGACCTTATAAACCAGCATCTTTAGGTAGAAACTAAAAAGACATTTGTTAATCTGATTTTAATGCTTCAAAGAATATTCCACATAATGCCTCCTGCAGCTAAGATTAGGTGGAATGAAACATGTTGTTAAGCTGACATTTTTAATGAGCCCAAGGCTGAGTTTCTCTAAACGACCTGTTTGAGCCTAGAAATGGGATACATTGACCTGATTACATCACTGCAAACTTATGTAAAGCAAGGAGAGATTGCTTCAAGGCTCTGCTGAGTTTCATTACTTTATGAAGGTTGGGTATAAACATTTAGGTTCAGGGTTGCATCAGATGTGTTCAGATTAGAGTCCATGGATGAAAGAACTGACTGGAATCTGTCCCTGTAGGACCTGGCGGCTCTGGCCAAAGAGCTGCGTGCAGTAGATGACGTGCGGCCTCCTCACAAGGTGACGGACTACTCCTCGTCGAGCGACGATTCCGGCACCACTGATGACGAAGATGAGGAGGAGGTGGACCAGGAGGCAGGAGATGAGTCTACCTCAGGGGCTGAGGACTCCAGAGCAGGGTAATTCAACTGCCTCACCAACATAAAATGTTTCAACACTGCATCCAACGCTGTGTGGAGTAAAGTAGTTTACTATATTTAGTTTGACTAAATGTTGTCCTTCTATCATACCTTTCTTTTTTCACATCCAGGAGGTTTTGCATGCTTTCTTGATTCCTTTTTTTCTCCATTCATTACCTTCTTTTAATCTCTTTCTTCTTTCCCTCCTGATGCTTTTCCTGTTTGCATTTGTCATTCCCCCTTTGTAGCTTCTGTTCTTTAATTTTTCCTTGTTTTTACTTAATTCTTTCTTGTGCCCCACATTCCCTCCTCTTTTTTTTCTTTGATTCTCCTTCCTTCCTTCCTTCCTTAGAGGCTCTTATTTTTATTTTTTTGATGAAAAGCAAAAATATAATAAAAATTCAATTAAAAATACTTTATTTATTCCAATTCGGTCTAAGGAGGAAGGAAAAAAAATCACATTTCACGATGTATCCTTAGCATGTCTAAGAAACCTCCGCATGTGTGGGGAAGTGGTGTCTGAGGCCTTGCTGCCATCAAAGGCTCTGCCTCTTCCTTACTACTTTCTTTCCTTCCTGGTTCTATATTTAAAAAAATACTATCAGTCTCAAATTTAAAGTAAACTTGACTATCTCACATTTAAAATGAACATGAATGAGTGAGAACAACACAGTTTGTTCCAGGGAAAGTCTGTAAGTTTTTTCCATGTTTGCCCCCAAAATCAGCTGCATCTTTAAGGAAAATAAAAGCATCTTCTGAATCCTGCAGGAGGCTGAGTAATGGAGAGACAGATTCTGCTAAGACCATGCTGGTGGAGGACCTGGAGAGCGAACAAGCCACCACACCTTCCAAAGATGGCACCCTGGTCATCAGACAGGTAGAAACCTTTTTGACTGAAGCAAAAAAAAAAAGATTTTCTTTTCCATGTCCTGGATCCAGGCCTAGTGTCTTTTATCCACATATTGTCCTCCTGTCTTGTTTTGCTGCATGCTCATTGTCCCATGTGCTGTGATATTTCACCTTCACAGATCAGAGCATTTACAGCCACTGGCGCTGCTCTTCAACGAGAAATGAATTGATTATGCAATGATTTGCAAAAGTAATCACACCCCTTGAGCTCTTTTTTTACATTCAGTCACACTAGACCCAGAAACAACAACATATTGAACCGCACTCCATTGTAAATGGAGGGCATCTGGGAAATAAAATTTTCTAGTTTTGCCAGAGATTCTTAGTTTTAAACCTTGTTTTTTGTAGGTTGCTTTAACACAATATGTTTGGTAACAAATCTATTATAAAGCTGCTCTTGAAAATTGTCCCAACCACCAAGCTGCGCTCTTTTAAGCACAAGTCCCCTGGGTGCAGTAGATCCATGCAAAACAAATCAATTTAATCCAGTTTTGACATAGTGTCTCATCAAACCATATTAAGATTTGTTGCTGCTGCGTGACGATGTGAAGAAGCTCAGGGGGCATGAACACTTCTGCGAGGCGCTGTGTTGTATCCGGATGAAACACGCAGCCAGTCTCCCTCTTCACCTCCTTGCTTGAGCCCAAATGTGCCTGTTTCTTGCTTCCAGAGCACAGCTGACATAAAGCGGTTGGTCAGTCTCTCATCTTCCTCCTCTTCCTCGCCTGGCCCTGGCCCAGGGCACGGCCTCCCAGAGAAAAACGGCTTTCCCGGCCACATTCACCACCTACCAGACCTTATCCAGCAGAGCCATCACTCCCCTTCCTCTTCTACAACCATCCTTTCCTCCATCTCCATGTCTCCCTCCTCCTCCTCTTCCTCCTTTCAGTCATCTTCTAGCCAGGCCAGTCCTGGAATGTGTCCACAAATTCCCTTGGATGAGCTCACTGCCATAGAGGTATGTTGCCCTCACACCAAAGAGGCAAACGATCAAGGAACGGCCGGTTCAGAAATATACAGGCTTAGATGTGCAGAGATCATTTTCCCATCTAATCCTATGTATCCTGACTGTACCGTCCTTGCTTGTTGGAGCCTCCCTTCACCCTTTCCTGCCCCTCTGCATCCTTCTGGTTTCACCACTGCTGCTGTCTGACTCCGCTCACACCCTGTTTCAAACCCTGAGCTCCAGCATCTTTCCATTTTCCTGCTCTGCAATGCGCCCATTAAACTGCCTCTAACATCGGTGCCTCCTGCTGGTAAAATGGCATCACAACATGGAGGAGACTCCTCTGAAGAGAGATTTTGGGTTAGATTGACTTGCATCGCTGCTGATGATTAAATCTTTTTTTTCCCTCTAACAAATCACAGCTTGTGTCTGGATAGACTATTGTTTCTTCTCGTTTTTTACACTGTTGTTTCCATTTGATGCTTTTTTTCTCTCTCCAGTCTCTAATAAATTAACATTCTGCATGAAATCCATTGGTTTTAACATGTTTAGTGCTCGGTTTGTTTTCAGCTTAAATTAGCAGTTGGGGGGAAAGCTTTTATTATATAGAGAGCTACAGTCAAAACCAGATATTTATAGATTCTGTAAAAAAAAAAAAAAGATCCACAACATTCTTTTTTCTTTTTCTTTGCCTTTAACTTTTAATATTTTTTTTTTTTGTTTGATAAAACAAAAAAGGAATAAATACATTTGCTAAATGCCAAAATAATGTTAGAATCTAGCTACGTTCATCTGTAATTATTTTAAGTATAAAAGATCCATCTATCCTAATCTGAGTGTTTAGTGTAAAATTTGTAGATTAAACCCTAGAAAAAAAGAAAAACATCTGAGGTTGATGGTTGAAGCTGGTGGGAGTCATTATCGATGGTGAAACTGACTTTTATTTCAGCACAAAGTCCTGAAATGCCGCTCTGCAAGGAAGACTTCAAAACATAAAAGACAGGATTAAACCTCTCTATCATGCTTTCTTTTAAGCGTTTCAAATTCAACTTTAGGCAAATATATGATGAAACGGTGCCTTTAGCAGTAGAGAGTATTTATTTGTTATGAAAATTAGCCATTTTCTTCCAACCTAGAAGAAAAAGACCGGCTTCCATACAGCGAAGCCTCTTCTTTCAGTCTGTGTGCAAAACTTTTCATGTCCTCCCAATATCGTAGCCTGATGTAGTCCTACTCAATTCTAGTCAGAATATGAGTCTGATACTGCTCCATAGAGCTGTGATTATGGGGC